GGCAGCAGCACTGGCAACACCAAGTGCTGCTGCTGCTGGGCACAGCTGCTTGGCCAGCACTGATCTGCCCCCAGCTCTGCACACAGACATTGCTGCTGCAGCTCCAGAGAAGGCAACAAAAGGGCATCTCTGCAGGAAACTCTGCTGGAAGATCCTTTAAGTCATTTAAAGCCACCAAGTGCATAGCGTCTCATCGACACAGTCTGTGGCCACAGGAAAGATAGAAAGAAACAAAATGAGAAATGGAACAAAGAGTTGCTTTTTTTTGGACAATATGAATACCTAACACAAATGAAAAAATACCACCGAAACCAAACCAACAAGAAGTACCAAAGATGACTTTTATTACAAGCGTTTTGCAGAAATACCAGCAGTTTAATGTTTTTGAAATCATCCAGTCATCAATCTGCAGACTGCAGCCTTGAGCTCGTGGTTCCTCAGGCTGTAGATGAGGGGGTTCAGGGCTGGAGGCACCACCGAGTACAGAACTGACAGGGCCAGATCCAGGGATGGGGAGGAGATGGAGGGGGGCTTCAAGTAGGCAAACATAACAGTGCTGTAAAACAGGGAGAGCACAGTCAGGTGAGGGAAGCAGGTGGAAAAGGTTTTGTGTTGTCCCTGCTCAGAGGGGATCCTCAGCACAACCCTGAAGATCTGCACAAAGGAGGAAACAATGAACACAAAACAGCCAAAAGCTAAACATATGGAGAACACAATAAGCCCAAGTTCCCTGAGGTAGGAATTTGAGCAGAAGAGCTTGAGGATCTGTGGGGTTTCACAGAAGAACTGGCCTAGGGCATTGCCCTAGCAAAGGGGCAGGGAAAATGTATTGGCTGTGTGCATGAGAGCAGTGAGAAAGGCACTGGCCCAGGCAGCTGCTGCCATGTGGACACAAGCTCTGCTGCCCAGGAGGGTGCCATAGTGCAGGGGTTTGCAGATGGACACGTAGCAGTCATAGCACATGATGGTCAGCAGGAAAAGCTCTGTTGCAGTGCAGAAAATGAAAAAAAAAACAAAAACGATTGGGCAGCACATCCAGTGTAGGAGATGTTCCTGGTGTCCCAGAGGGAATTGTGCATGGCTTTGGGGACAATGGTGCAGATGGAGCCCAGGTCGCTGAGGGCCAGGTTGAGCAGGAAGAAGAACATGGGCGTGTGCAGGTGGTGGCCGCAGGCTACGGCGCTGATGATGAGGCCGTTGCCCAGGAGGGCAGCCAGGGGAGATGCCCAGCAAGAGGCAGAAGTGCAGGAGCTGCAGCTGCCAAGTGTCTGCCATTGCGAGCAGGACAAAGTGTCTGATGGAGCTGCTGTTGGACATTTGCTGTGTCAGGCCTTGGGGAGATGTTAATGGAGAAAAGTCAGTGACACTTTAGGACAATATTCTTCCAACAAAATTAAAGACTTTTCTGACAGACTCTTCTGTTGTAACCCTTTGATACCCTCTAATTTTCTATCAGCTTTTCCTTTAGCTCCAAGTGGGAAGCCCTGGCTAATGTTGACTTAGTGGGACATCAGGTTCAGCGCAGCTACACACAGGGTTTTTATAATTCAGCCTTGCTCTGCAGATGTGGGAGGAGGACAGGGTCCTGTCCTCATTTTCCACTTTGAAACCCTGTTAAGACAGAAGGCTCTGTCAGCATCTGCACCGCCAGTGCCAGAGAGTAGGAATGGTAACACAGGAGGGGCTGACAGCTTTGGAGCCCCGGCCCTGAGGGCAGAGGCTTGGCTGGGACACAGGAAGAAGGGGGCTTGTTCAGAGGGAGCGGCTGCACTGGAGGGGATCCTGAGGAACTCTCTAAACTCTCCCTGCCACAGCATTGCTGGATTTTGTTTTCTCTCATTGCCCAATCTTCCCTCTGCTTCCTGGAGATTTCCTACCTGCAGGTGTTTCCCTGTGCCTGATCTCTCCTTGCCCACCACTCATAGACCCCAAATCTCTGTGCCCTCTCCTTGGCCTGACAGAACCCTGCCTGTTTGCAGGGCACTGGCTGGGGGCAGGTTCTGTTTGCAGCTTGAAGAAAGGACAGCTCAGACTGAGCCTGATGGCTCCATCAAAGGTGATGCTGCTGCTGTCGATGGGCAGAGTGGCTGAAAGCACTTTAGGGATCTACTACTGATCACTAAAAGGTACAATTTGGATGTCTCAGGCACTTGTCAAAATTAATAATAAACAAATCATAATCAGCTTTAAAAAATTATCTTCCCCTCCCTGCCACGGTACAATAGTAGGAAACTGAATCCAGAGTCTTCAGAAATTTACTCATTTTTTTAAAAAATCCTTGTCTTGGAAATATTCTATGACTGATCAAAAACCCTCAGCATGTCAGAGCTTTATGAACATTTCACCTCCCCTGCACCAGAAATACTCAGAATTGTACTCACAGTGTCTGTAGGCATTGGGATGTTCCAGCTTTAGGAGATGGCTTCAGGAGCTGCAGCTGCATTGTCCTGCAGCCAGAGCTTCCTGTGCAAAGGGCTGGCAGTGATTCTGCCCCAGGCACTTCTCAGCACCTTCCCAGCTCCGACTGATTGAAGCTCTCTGTGCCTCTGTGCTGTTCCCGGGATGGCTGCAGGCAGTGCCCCAGCCCTGCTGGGCTGGCAGAAGAGCTGCTCATCAAGAGAAATGTGCTTTTGAAGCTCTTCTTGATTACCAGGAGCTGCCTCTGTGCCAGGCTCAACTCAGCAGCACAGACACAGCACAAGGACTTTAATGAGCCTCTGGATCTTTGTGCTCAGGCCCTGAACATCAGTCCCTGAGAGGGAGCTGAAGAAACCTCTCCAGAACTCCAAGGCAGAATCCAACTCCAAGCTTTCTTGGACTTTTAATGGGTCCCACTGAGGGACACGACTGAGAAAGTGTCACCAGACCCCAGGCAGAGCAGAGAACTGGAGGCAGTGATGACAGGTGGGGACAAAGAGAAGCCAAGTCTTGGTGCCCTGGGGCACAGCAGCAGGGTCTATTCCACCAAGGGCTGTGAGGAGACACCTTGTCCTGAGGCCCTGGGGCCTCCTGGCACAGCCCCAGCCGGGCTTGGCACTGTCAGCCCCTTGTCCTGCCCTCACCACCCCCCTAGCCCACATCCCAGTGGCCTCAAGGATCTGCTGGAAGGAGTCCCTGGGGAGCCTTGCTCAGGAATGGCCCTGGGGGCTCCTTAATGCTCCCAGGGACTGCAGTTTCTTCAAAGGACTTTGGGTTTGGCTCTTGCCTTGGAGTCTCTGAGAGGTTTGTACAATCCTGGCCTCCAATTATCTGCTGTAATTAGTCCCTGGAGAGGCTTTGTCAGTAACAACACTCAGTGGGGTTCATTAATACTTCAGGGTACGTCAGTTTTTTTAAGGTACTTGGTGTTTCCCTTTTGATACTGACTCTGTGAGAGGTTTGAGCAATCATGGGCCCAATTATCTGCTTTAATTAATCCCTGGAGAGCCTTGTACTGACACTCAGTGGGGCTCATTAACACCTTGAGATACTCAAGGTTTTTAAGGTACTTCATGGTACTTTTAAGGTACTTTAAGGTACTTTTTAGGTACTTTTAAGGATTTTCCTTCCCACACTGAGTCTTTGAGAGGATTTTGTGCCATCCTGGCCTCCAATTCTCTCCTCCAAGGAGTCCATGAAAGCCTGTGTTGATTATCTTCCCCCTTTCTGTTTTACAACAAAGATGGAGCTGAAAGAATTTTTTAAGACTTTCTAAAACCATTCAAACAAACGTCACAATTAACAATACGATAACAACAACCACTAAGAGAATTAATAGTCTTTTTGTCGTCACCCCAACTGTTTTAGTAAACATCCTCCAACCCTTTAGTCCTCAGGACTGGAAGAGTTTATTGAACCAGTCTTTGTTTTCCACTTGAAGCTTCTTGAACCCTTCCTTTAGTATCTGAATGCTCTTGAGGATTGACTCGCTGTGGCTGGAGAGTTTCATACAACACATCCCTGAGAATCTACACGGCCATGCCCATGTGCCCAGAGTAAAAATTCTATCGCTGTTCTGCAAGGTGGCATGTCTGATGGTCTCTGTGTCTGAGAGCAGGCCACTCAATGTGATGGAGGTAGCATTGGTTTGCATACTTAACAGGCACCCAAGATGGTCTGATTGTCCTAAAGCTTGAGCTGCAGCCACCCAAGGTAGTTCAAATTAGGGTTGCTACAATCTGATACCTGGATTGAAGCTTGCAAAGCCATCTCTTTGATATCATTCCATACTTCTCTGAGGGTACCTGCTGCTTGATCATCTGCTAGGCTGTGTTGTCCTTCTCCAGCTAGATGGTTGATTTTCAATTCCACCCTTGCTTTGTTATTAACACAGTTTGCTATTAATTGATTTAGTAAACTATTCCATCCCCCTTCCCACAGCGTGTATTCTGTAGGTGACAACAACATGGTCATATTTTAAATCATAGGGGGTTAAGACATGTGCTGTAAACATGGCCCTCATTAGGCCATTAAAACAAGGTAAATCCCTCCTATGGTCATTAGCTGCCCCACACATATCCTTGAGTTCCCCGTAAACCAATGGCTGATACCTGGGATCTGCCCCCTTCTTTCATAACATCCGGGGGTAACGAGGAGTGTTGAGACTATTTGCCACTCTCCTTCCTTAACTGCTTCCTTCTGGATCCTTTCCTAGGGATCTTCTGGGGTTGAGGGAAAAGATGGGTCTGGGGAATCCAAACTGTCTTCTGGGGACGAAGAATAACTTGGAGCAGAAACATTTGGATTAGAAATACTTTGTCAGCAGGGCAGAGTATGTTGTATCATGGGGTTATATCATTGCCAGAGGGGGAGGCAAAGTGCACTGCCATTTTGTCAGGTGCTGGGAGGAAGGGCCTTGATTTAGGATGGCAAACTTCCAGGGTGGAGATCTGGAGTCATGGCCCAGGGGGAAGGTGGAATGATTGACAGTGAGGCATGACCCACAGTTTTGGAGGTGGAATCTGGAGGTTTGTTAAGGACAGAAGAGAAGGTTCTGGTAGCAGGAAGTGGAGGAGTCAAGATGGAGGGAGGATGGTCAGGCTTAGGGGCCTTTGGAGAAATTTTAATGATCCACCTCAGGATTGATTTTAACTTGTTCTTTGAAGATATTTGGTCATGATCAGTGAGAATTAACTTAAAGCATCGATATACACACCTTTCTACTTTGGACATCCACCTGCCCATTTTTCTCTTTCTATGCCTTAGGTAGAACAGCCACTGGAACACCCCAAATCAATTACGGGACATCAGTGCGTATTGTAAAAAGGCAGTGAGAAAATGGGCAATAATTTTTACTGTGTTTCCCTAAACCCACCTGCAATCCTATGCAGGTAAAACTGTTGTCTCTTGTGGATCCTGGCCGAGGTCCCTCGAAGCAATAATGAATCTGCCAGCCTGGCACAATCCAAAATCCTGGGGATCGCTGGCCTATCCATCAGCCAACCCCAGCTGACGTGACTGAATGTCAGGGTCCCTGTCTGGGCGCCAAAAGTCACAATGAGGTTGGCGGTGACAAACCTTTCTCGTTCTCCAACTTCAGGGCAAGGGTGGTGAAAATGAAAAGGAGCAGATGCTGGGGAAGATGAAACAGGAAAGCCTTAAAGATATGATTGCCTGGCAAAAGATTTTGAAAATATGGAAACTATAAGTCAGACTGAAATGAAAGCAAGCTTTGCGATACCAAGCCTTAGTTACTGAACAACTGGAAAACAATGGTATTGCTGAAGGTAACACACTGTTGATGAAACAATACCCTCTGCTTGCAGACAGGTCCAAGGGTCAGAGCAGACTGTACTAGCTTGACAAAGGAGGTCAAAAAAGGGGTCGAAAGAGTAGTTTTTAGGGTTTAAAATGTAACACAGTATGGTAATGTAATGATTCTTATAGGCTATATATAAATGCTATAAGATTTGTATCTTGTATTATATTGGTTAGTGAAAATTAGAATATGCAGCACAGAAGAAGATTTATTGTATTGTAACGGGAACTCCCCTCCTCTTTTGGGCATCCATTTTGAGTTCCACTTTTTAGCTCCTCTTTTGGGCCTCCTCCAAGCTGTGGCTGGCAGCTCCAAACAAGGCCCTGCACCCAAAACCCTTTGCAATAAACCACAAGCTCCAAGACCTGGCTTCAGAGATCTCTCATCTCCATCTGTCCCAACCATCCTACTGCCCAATGCTACAACAAGCAGGATCAATGGAGTTTCCCAAAAAGAACTTTAGTAAACAGAGAAGTTGAGCACAGTACAAGGGGTGAGATTCAAAGACCTGAGATAAAGGCAAAGCAACGATATATACACTTCAGGGTAGAACACTCTAGAACAATAACCATACAGGACAAACAAGTAACCAATAGGGGAGGAAAACTTGGACAACTTAGCGTAACAACTCTAAAGGCTTATGGGGGAATTCTGAAGCTCACCCTAAGTTAAACAAATTATTCCTAGGGCTTGAAACTCACATCCAGTTTATCCAGGGTAAAATCTGGTTGACTCTGAGGTACAGCTGGGCCAACTCCCGCACCGCTGATTTGCTCTGGCCCCTTGGGACCATGCAGCCCAACAGAGCCACAATGATGTCCTTGGTTCCACGAGGCTCTACAGTGACAGTGTCACAATGGTCCCTTGGATCCATGGTGCTCTGCAGTGTCACAATGGCCCCTTCATTTCACAAGGCTCCCAAGTGTCACATTGGTCTCCATAGGAAGGAAACCACAGAGACCCATGTACAGGAGCTGATGAACAGCAGTCACCAGCGGCCAAGGCAAGCCTGACCTGTCTGTCCTGGAAGGTTTGCTTGGCGCAACCCTTGGATATTTGAAAT